TTCCCAAGGTCAAAACAACCATGAAAAGTAAATGTTTTGAATCAATTCAGGACACTGAGGTAGCCATAATAATGCAATTAAAGACACTCATGGAAGAGTACTTCCAGAACTGCTTCAGAAAGTGACAAGAATTATAGGATAAGTGTGTTTGAAACAAAGGAGAGTATTTTGAAGGAGATTAATGACAATATATCTTTTACTGTTTGTTATAGTTTAGAATCTGAATGTCTCATCAAAGTCTCATATGTTTAGAGGTGGGGCTGAGTTAGAAGAGGTTGATCATGAGCATGACCAGGAAAGGTGTATTTTTGTCCTCAGCTCCTCCCTTGTCTCTGTACTTCCTGGCTGCCATGAGAGGATCAGCTGTCCTCTTACCATACTGTTTCTGCTTTGGAGCCAGCTGACTTTGTACTGAAACTACTGGAAATTGTGAGCCAAATAAACCTTTCATCCTTTAGTGTCAGATATTTTATCCCAATGATGGAAAAGTGACTAATACAGATTTTGATATCAGAGAAGTATGGTTGTTGCTGTGGCTGTACCTGACCATGTGGTTCAGAAGCCTTTGAAACTGGTTTGCAAGAGGAATTTATAAAGGTTCAGAGATGCTGGCTGGAGAAGTCTTAGAATGCTGTAAGTCAAGCTTGATGGCTAAAATGTGGATAGGAATGTGTACAGCATAGACAAGGCTTATGAGGTTTAGTTAGGAATGAGGACTTTAGTATAAACTGGACTTGAGGCCAAATGTGTTACACTCTGGCAAAAAGCTTGTCTATATTTTGCTCATGTCCTAAGAATTTGTGTGTGGTTAAATTTAAAGATGGCCAAAAAATTATTCTGGCAGAGGTAATTTAAAGGCAGCCCAATATTTAGGCTGTAGAATGGGTACTGTTGGCTGCTTTTAGCCAGTTCGATGATAAGAAACAGGAGGAAAATGTCACCTTGAATGATTTGAAAAGTTTGCATCTTGGCCAGAAAGAAAGCACCTGCAAATCTGGGGCCTTGGAAAGAATGGTTGCTGAAAGAATTAGAATTAAAAATCCAATAGGAAAGATGAGTTGAAGGCCTCTCAAGAATCAGCAAGACCTCACCCATCACAGGATCAAAGGTGCAAAAGTGTAAACTATTCATTTGAGAAGAGAGCCCAAGGGAGCCCAGCTTATTCAGGGCCACCTAGGAAAGTGTTTTTTGGAGTTCAACAATCCAGGCATTCAGAGGCCACTGCAGCCATGCTCCAAAAGAGGCCCAGCTGCTTCTCCCACTAACAGAAGACCTTGGTGTCATCTATATAGCACTAATTTTTCAGACATGTAGAATGCAAGAGTTGTGGGGTCATGGAAGTTTCCACCGAGATTTCAGAAGAAGGCCTGGGAAACCACACAGTGTGGCCCTGAGAGGACAGTGCATGAAGCTGTGACAGTGAAGCCAAAAGTATAATGGAAACTCCAAGAAGTTGAAGATGCCAGATGGAATCTCCAGGAAGATGAAGACGGGGTATTTGCCAAGGAAAGCCTCAGGCAGTGAGCAGAGTGGGCTCAAGAGAGAGGCCATGTGGGCTGAAACTGGCAAGGCCATTGGGGCAGGGCCACCCAAGCCCTTTGGAGCTTACATTTCAGTACAACCTGCTCTGGGTGCAAGAATGAAGCTTCAGAATTTAATGCTTACTTTTCTGGGTTTTGTTCTTACTTTGGTCTGATTTCTTTCCATCCCCCCATTTCTCCCTTTTGGAATGGGAATGTTTACCCTGTTCCATTTTATGTTGGAAGTATTTAACTTTCTTTTGATTTTTACAGGAGCTCACAGATAAGAGTTTGCCTTGTGTCTCAGAGGAGACTTTGGGCTTGGATTTTTCAGCAGTGCTGGAGCTGTTAAGACTGTGGCTACTTCAAGATGCATTAAATGCATTTTGTATAATGAAATGGACATGTGTATTTTGGGGGCCAGGGGCAGAATATTATAGTTTAGATCTAAAATGTCTCCCTACCAAGTCTCATGTGTTTAGAAGGTGATTGAATCATGAGGGTGCTATCTTCACCAGTAGATTCATCCATTAATGGATTCAGTAGCTGAATGCATTGTTAGGAGGTGGGGTCTGGTTGGGGGTGGGTCACTAGGGCCCTGACCTGGAAGGGTGTATTCTTGTTCCCAACTCCTCCCTTATCTCTCTGTTTCTTGCCACCATGATGTTAGTGCTGCCCTCTACCATGCTCTTCCTCCATGCTCTTGGAGCCAGCTGACTTTGGACTGACCCTCCTGGAAAATATGAGCCAAATAAACTTCTCTTCCTTTAAGTGGGTGTCAAGTATTTTGTCCCAGTGACTGAAAAGTGACTAATACACTATAATATTTTTAAAAAATTTAAACATTTACTATATGTTTCAATCACATCTCATATATATGAAGAATTCTATTCTGCCTAGTCTGAATGGGAATTTTCTTCTGTCTCTAACACATTCAGTAATGCAAGATACACAATTATAAGTGCACCATGTGTTTTTGATTGTGGGACTAGCACTAAACATGAGATATACCCTCTTAACAAACTTTAAAGTGTACAATACAGTGTTATTAACAGGTACAAGGTTGTACAACAGATCTCTAGAACTCATTCATCTTGAATAATAGGAACTGTGTACCTATTGAACAGAATTCCTCATTTCCTCTGTCACTCTTAGCTCCTGGAAACCACCATTCTGCTCTCTGCTTCTATGAATGTGACTATTTTAGAAACTACATGTAAGTGGAATCCTGCAATATTTGCCCTTTGGTGGCTGGCTTATTTCACTTAGCATAATGTCTTCCAGGTTCATCCATGCTGTTACATATGTCAGGATTTCCTTCTTTCTTAAGGCTAAACCATATCCTATTGTGTATATGTACCACATTTTCTTCATCCGTGCATCCACTCATAGACATTTAAATTGTTTCCACATTTCAGCTATTATGAATAATGCTGAAATGAACATAAAAGTACAAATATTGCTTTGAGATCTTGATTTCAGTTCTTTAGATAAATATCCAGAAGTGGGATTTCTGGATCATATGGTGGTTCTATTTAAAAATTTTTAAGGAATCTCTATACTGTTTTCCATAGTGGCTGTACCATTTTTTGTTTTGTTTTGTTTTTTTGGTACCAGGGATCAAACTCAGGACCTTGCGCTTGCAAGGCAGGCAGCAGAACCACTGAGGTAAATCCCCGGCCCCTGCTGTCCATTTTTTATGAGTCTTTTGAAATAGCATTTATCAGAGATCCTGAGTTTGAAGAACCAAGCCTATAGCAGTTCTGTGAATACTGATTTTTGTCTATTATGAGTTTGCATGTTTTATGTATCTGAATTTATTGGATCATGTTTTAATGTATTTGACTCATCTTATTCTGATGAAGTCTGAAAGTTTGTCATGAAATAGCAGATGAAGCTGTCACATATACAGAGAAATAACCTGAAAAAAATGTTCCAGACACAAAAAATCTAAACATACTAATAGTTCAATTGTGGAGTATTAAGAGTGATTTGATTATAAATTACTTTATATAACTCAATACAAAGCAGTGTCAATTAAAAAATACACTGCTATTCTTGTAAATGCCTTATTTTCAGATCAATTTTGTATAGTGTTTTCTGAACTGTTGATGAGCCAAAATGTAAATATTATAGGAGGGAAGCCAAATATGTAAACTGAACGACTAGCTTGTCAAAACGTGTCTCATTATTACAACAGTAATTAAAAACCATCAAAACAAAATAAAAATAAACAAGTATTACTAGTACAAATTTTGATAAATTATGATAGATGAATTATCTTTATATTTTCATTGAAAATATTATAAAATCATCATTTGTGTGGTAAACAATTATGCAACCAGCAATATAGGAAAATTACATTATAGGAGTATGCCAGGAAGTTATTTTTTTTTTAAATTTATGTACTATTTTATTTATGATCTCTCTGAAACATGTAAAAATTTTTATGGCTAATGTAACTTTCTATCCTAAAATGTTATTCACTGAGATGAATCTCTACAAAAAACATTTTAATGCAGTACCAGCATTTAACTCAGAGGAATCTACCTGTGAATATTACCTTTGGACAGTAAAATGAGATTACAGATACAGGATAAATAAACAGCTGTGATAGCCATACTTACCATCTTAGTTATAGGCAAAATGGGCAAAGTACCACAGAGTACAAAGATTTAACAGCTAGAATACTCTGCAGTCCTTCTGAGAAACTACAGGTGGGAAATACGTAGTAAATTATCTGTTTCACCGTGGTCCAGTCCACCACAGTAATCATCATTCTGCCCATTGATTCAGATGACTGCTACTGTTTTTTATCATTGAAAACTAGATTCAAAGTCAGTCATTGCTCAACAAGCTAATGATACTACCAATTAAAATACAGTTTAAACCCAAAAAGCTTAAGGTAAAGCACACCCGCTACTCATAACTACTTTTAGGCATAATTGAGACTACACTACTAGCAATTAGATAAACTTTCTGATTAAAATAATTCAGATTAATACTGTGCACAGTTAATTCCAGTTATCATATATATTTATTGGTTATCAACAGTGCAAGTTTATGCTCCAAAGAAATATAACAATCCACTAAAATGATTACATTTAATTTTCTCTTAAAGGCAGATGAACTAAATTTAAGAACTGGCTCTTCTTGGTATTTCATTTTAAAATTACTGATACATATTTACCAGAGAAATACTTATACATCATTCTGCCCAACATCAATTAGTTTCGGCAAGTTTCTAAGATAGATGCATTTCTTGTTCAATTTCCAAAAAATAAATGATAGTTCTCTAACTGAAAGCACTTGTATTCCACAGCTCTAAGATAAACATTAAAAAGAAAATACAAAAAAATGACCTCTTGGATTTTGAATAGCCCACTCAGTTACATAAAGTATTTTCTGTCCCAATACTTTCTCAATTTCAAAAGATATTTACTTCCTACAAACAGAACAAACAGAATCTTCATTTCATACTGTCATTCTGTTTCCATAGTAACACTGCGGGACTCCTTGGCTACCATAAGTCGCATCAGCTGACTGTGGAACTTCTCAATCTTCTTCACATCTTGAGCTTGATCTGTTCTGTACACCAAACAAACTAAATCATCTGTTACTTTAATACACAAATTCCCATCGGTGTGCCTGTATTTGAGAACCACCCGTGCTTTCATCGGGTCCGCGAGGTAGAGCTTCTCGGCCGCGCGACTGAACTCCTCCCAGGTCTGGGACTGCGGCCTCTGGGCCTGGACGTGGGCTCACGGCTGCCTGCACACCAACCGCCGCGACCCTAGGAAGCTATTATTAGGTTATTTTTCTAGATTTTCTGATGTTCGTAGTATTCATAGGCTTTAATAAATGTGCAAAATATTGTGATTTCTTTTCTCCATTTAAATAAGTACTCACTCTTTTTTTTCTTATGTTACTGGAGACTGAACCTAGGGCATGGTAGACATACTTTCTACCACTGAGTTACACCCCAAAATATTTACTTTTGAACCTAATTTTGTATTCATATTAATGGTGAACTCGCCAAAATGTATAAATACGAGGCCACACCCAGCCTAGATTAGCCCTTACCTATACCCAGTACTTTGGTAAATACTGTTGGTTCTACCATCAGTATTTGCATACTGTCTTCACTGCCACCTCTACCATAATTTTCTACCTAGATTATTGTGATAACTTCCTAATTTTTCTCCCTGCTTCTTGTTTTGCCCCATTTTTGTCTAATCGCAGCACAGCAGGCAGAGTGATCCTTTTAACCCAAGTAATATAGGTTCTTCCTTTGTTCAAAACTCTTCAATAGTTTCCCTCTTCATTCAGAGTAAAGTCCAAAGTCCTTTTATGGCTTCCAAAAATGCACATTATCTGTGTTTCTCCAAACATCTGGGACTTCTTTTCTCACTTCTCTCTTCTTATTTACCCCAATTAACCACTCTGGTTGTTTTTATTTACTTGTTTGTTTGTGGCACTGGGGGTTGAATCCAAAGCATTTGCACTGACCTATGTCCCCAGCCCTTCTAATTTTTTATTTTGAGACAGGGGGTCCCTAAGTCACTAAGCTGTCCAAGCTGGGCTAGAACTTCTGATTCTCCTGCCTCAGTACCCCAGAGTACTGGGATTACAAGCGTGTGTCACCACACCCAGCTCCATTGTGATTATTCGCTGTTCCAGGAATGTTTCAAGCATACTTCTGCCTTGGGACCGTGGCATTGGCTATTTCCCCTGCCTGGAATCCTCTTCTTTCAGCTATCTGCATGACTTGCTCCCTTGCTTCTTTTAGGTCTCAGCTCAAATGTAACTTTATCAGGGAGGCCTTTCCCTGGGTGAGGGATTGGGTCCAGAAACCCCCAAGGATACCAAAATCCACAGATACTCTAGTTCCTCATATAAAATGGCACAATAGTTGTATACATCCTATGCCTATCCTTCTCCTGTATACCTTTAAACCATCTTCAGATTACTTACAATACATACATGCTGTAAATGCTATGTAAGTAGGTGCTATGTTGTATTGTTCAGAAAAATATTGGCCAGAAAAAGTCTGTACGTGCTGTCTTAGTTACTTTTCTCATCACTGAGACAAAATACCCAACACCCAAAATTAATAGAAGAAAAGTTTATTCTAGGTCACAGTTTGTAGAGATTTTAGTCCATAGTTGGCTGGCTCCAAGGCAGGAGGAATGGCAGAGGAGAAACAGTCCATGACAGGGTAGACAGGAAGTAGCAGCAGTGATACCACACCAACAAGCCTCCCTTTCCCCTTTTATCCTATTTAAACTGCAAGCCTTTTGGGTGGTGTCACCATACCCAGAGTGGGCATTCTCATTTTCCACATGCAGAACTATGATAAACCAATCAGTGGACTAATTAACTTATCACACACCCTTAACCCCAGTATCACACACTGGTGATCCAGTCACCTCTCAGAAGCCCCTCCTATGGGCACATGAAGCTTTGAGAGAACATCTAGATACAAGCCATAACCATATACAGTACAAATGTAACTTTTTCAAATATTTTTGATCCATAGTTGGTTGAAACTACAGATATAGAGTTCATGGATATTGAAGACTCGTGGTGTAAAATTGCAATCTCTTCATGCTAAAGTTATAGCTGAGTTTCAGAACATTTGCCTAGCATGTATGAAGTCTTTGGTTTGATTACCAGTACCACACACACACACACACACACACACACACACGCACACACACCCCACTCATTATTTCTATTCTATTTTTCTATATTATCACCTGATATAATTCATAATTCTATATTTATTTGTATATCTTCCTTCTCCTCCATTAGAAGGAAGCTTTGCAAAAAGAAATATCTTGTTGTGTTCCCTAATTTATTCTCAGCAACTCAACATGTGCTTGGCATATAGCAGGCATTCAATAAATATGTGTTGAATGAATGAAGGATAAATTTGATAAGCTAATGTAAGCAATAGGACTACAGGGTGATCTTCCTTTTGTTCTTTTAAAATTATTTTAAAAATGTTTGATAAAATATAAAAGTGTAAGCATTGCCACTTTAATGATTTTAAGTATCCTGTTCAGTGGCATTCACTTATTAATATTGTTGTGCATCTATCACTACCATCCGTCCCACAGAACATTTTTAATCTTTCAGAATTGAAACTCTGTACCACATTTCTTTATACACTAGGTTAATGCCTGAATTTCATACAACAAACATTTATTATTATAATGTCAAAAGGCCATTTCCATTTTGGGAACAGACTAACGGGAGATTTAGATTCATTTTATAAAACAATAATTGAGAAAAAACTGTGTTCCTATTCCTTAAACAGATTAAGTGTGAAGCTGCCCAGGTTTAAAAATGATTCATTAATGTGTTCCTCTGGGAGCTTGAATATTCAGTACCAGCTGTTTTCTTCATTAATATTTGAATTTAATATTTTACCATAAGAAATTCAATACCAAAGGAATAGTAAATATTTAACTACTTATGGTATTATTTTAATTTGTTAATAGTTTTTTTTTCACTTGGGGTTTGCTTAATTAGTGATACTATTGCAATTATTCAGCGTCATAATACAGAGAAGGGAGAGAGGAAAGTCGCACAGATTGAGAGCCTATTTGGTGCTGGGGCTCTGCCTCCCTTTCCTCAGCTCCCATGCCCTTGGCAACGCACTTGCACCATCTCCATTTCATAGTAAAGGCTCTTGACAAGACCACCGATGAATTCCCTGTCACCTAATCTCAATAGACACTTTTCAGTCTTTATTCATTTGACCTAGCAGCTGTCAGCACAGATGACCACTCCCTTCATGTCAAAACCCCTCCTTCCTTGCCAGCATTTGTTACCTTTGCCTTTTTGATAGTAGCCATTTTACAGGTATGAGGTGATGCCTCATTGTGGTTTTGGATTTGCATTCCCTGATGATTAGTGATGATGAGCATTTATTCATGTACTTGTTCATTTGTCAGTCTACTTTTGAGAAATGTCTAGTCAGGTCTATTGTCCCTTTTTAAATTGGGTTGTCTTTTTTTTTTTTCGCTATTGAGTTTTTGAAGTTCTTTATATATTCTGGGTATTAACCCCTTGTTAAATGTGTATTTCGCAAATACCTGCCCCCTCTCTGTAGATTGTTATTTTCCTCTGTTGACTGTTTTTTTGCTATACAGAGGCTTTTTAGTTCGATAAAGAAAATGTGGTATATGTACACAATGGAATACTATTCAACCATATAAATCATGAAAGCCTGTCATTTCTGACAATGTGGATGGACCTGAAAAACATTTTGTGAAGTGAAATACTTTAGGCACAGAAAGACAACACTGCATGATTTCACTCCTAAGTAGAATCCAAAAGAATTACTCTTATACAAGTTGGGAGTAGAATACTGGCTATCAGAGATTGGGGAGAGTAGAGGGGAAAACAGGTCAGTCAAGAGGTATAATGTGTAGGGGCCGGGGATTTAGCTCAGTGGTACCGCACCTGCCTGGTAAGCGCAAGGTCCTGAGTTTGAGCCCCGGTACAAAAAAAAAAAAGGTACAATGTGATTGTTCGGATGAACAAATTCTGGTGTTCTATGACACAGAAGGATCAATATAGTTAAAAATAATGCACTACATATCTCAAAGTAGGTAGAAGAGAGGAATTTGAAGGTACTCACCATAAATAAACGATAAAAGTTGAAGGTGCTGAATATACTAATTACCCCGAGTTGATCACTACCAAACTTATATGTGAATCAAAACATCACACTGGTGGCTGAAGGTATAGCTGAGTGGTAGAGCTTGAGCTAAACATAGGCAAGGCCCTGGGTTTCATCCCCAACACCAAAAACAAAACAAACCAATCCAAACAGAACAAGCAACAACAAAAATTAAATAAAAATAAACCAAAAATTATAACTCATAAATTGTATCTCATAAATATGTACAAGTATTATGTGTCAATAAAAAACCTTTTTGCTTTGTTTTCTCATCAGTTTTTTTTAATTCTACTTCCTAAATATTTTCATTATCGTCCTACTTCTCTCCACTGTCACCACCCAAACTGGCCTAAAACCATCACCTCTTGCCTGGAATATTTCAATAGCCTCCTAACTAATCTGTTTGCCTCCAGTCCTGTTCAGCCCTAATCCACTTCCTACACTACTGTCAATGAGCTCTCTGAATTATAGGCACATCTCTCCCTTGATTACAACTCCTCATGGACTTCTGGTGCTCTCAAATTCAATATCCTTACTCTGGTTTAGAGAGTTCTTCACCTTGTGATTCCTGCCTGTTTTGCCAGATTCATTCTGAGTTACTCTCCTTTAGATCTGTCTACATGAGACTTCTCCAGTTTCCATGAATAAGTCACATACTCTTCCATCTCTGGATCCTGCATAAGCTTTTACTTCTACCAGGGCTGTTCTTTATTAATTTATTCTTTCAATCAACAAATATTTATCAAGTGCCTACCAGATGTCAGGGATTGTTGGAAGTACAGGGGATATAGCAGTGAACAGAATAAAGATTCCCTTGTTTATGGCTCTTGCATTCTAGAAAGAGAAGAGAAATAAGCAATAATAAATGCAATGCATGAGTAAACTATATAGAGTTTTAAAAGGTGAGAGTTCAATGGAAAAAAAAAGTAGAGAGCAAAGTAAACAAGGATCAAGAGTACAGAAGAGTGCTGGGTGTGGTGATGTGCACTTGTAATATCAGCATTCTGGGAGGCTGACACAGGAAGATTGCAAGTTAAAGCCCAGCCTGGGCAACTTAGTAACTTAGCAAGATCCTGTCTCAAAAAAAAATTTTTTTTGGGGGGGTGCTAAGGATCGAACTTGGGACCTTGTGCTTTCAAGGCAGGAGGTGGAACCACTGAGCTAAATCCCTGGGCCTCAAAAAATAATTTTTTTTAATAAAGGGCTGGGGGGACGGGGATTTAACTCAGTGGTTCCGGCACCTGCCTCGCAAGCGCAAGGTCCCGAGTTCAATCCCTGGTACCAAAAAATAAAAATAAAAAAATAAAAAATAAAAAAAGGGCTGGGTATGTAGCTCAGTGTGAGGGCCTTGGTTTCAATCCCCAGTGCTGCAAAAAAAAAAAAAAAAGTACAGAGCAGGGTGGTTGTTTGAAATTTTCCATGGAGAGGTCAAAGTTGCTTCATCGAGAAGGTGATATTTCAGCAAAGACTTGAAGGAGGTGGAGGAATAAACCATGTGGATGTCTGAGGGAAGAACATTCTGGGAGAGGCAGCAGACAGTGCAAACCTATGAGGGTGGTGTGTTGGGCACAGTGAAGAGAGAGGTGTGGCTTCAGGGAGTGAATGAGTGTGAGCACAGAAGGAAAAGGTTGCTGAAGATGCAGCTAGGGGCCAGGTCCTGAAGAGGCTGGTGGGCCACTCTGTGGGGTTTGGCTTTTTTCTGAGTGAGATGTGAAGCTATTAGTGATTATTGATTAGACAAGTTACATAATTAATTAATTTTTTAAAAGATTGCTCTGCTACATTGAGAATAGACTGTAAGGAAAGATGGGGGTGAAGTGGGAACAGGAAGACTGGCCAGGAGGCTATGATAATAGGTCGGGCCAGAGAAAAAGTTGGTTATGGAATATAAATATATGATAAATGTGTATAAGTAAATAAATGTGTTTGATATATAGATATAGACCATGGTTAAAGGGATGATCCTGGTTAAACATTTTGAAATAGTTACATGTAAAATGGTTGTGATAAAGATAATTTAACAAAATAATGAAAAACAGGCAGCATAGAGATTTGCTCATTGAACTGAGCTTGTTCATTCTCCCAGCTATTTCCTGTCTAATGTGATGATGGCATCTTTTTCTATTTTTTTTCTTAAATTCTTTTCTTGGTACATTTTAGGTATACAATATGTTTACATTTATCACTGGGTGCTTGTACCTGTACATGATGTATCTTGGTTCTTATTTTTTCCCCATT